GTCAATGGAAACGTCAGCTCAACTCATATGATTGTGGGAAAATTCTACTATCAGTCCTTCATCACCTTAGACGAAATAGGGTAAATACATCTCATTAGAAGTTTATAGTTTGGGAAAGAATAATGAAATTGTGTTTTGCTGAGAGTTTAACTAATACAGCTTTTTTTATTTGCGTCTTTTAGGCATGATTATTTACTTACGTCTAGATAAAGTCCCATTTGACCACTAATAACATTGGGCTAAACAAGCGAATTGTTTGGTCGTATCCGCTAGTGACGAGTTCTAATGACGACTTGTCAAATGGTCCCTCCTCAAGAAGGCAACTTGGATGATACAATATATTTTTTCTGTTATTTTCCAAGAAGCTCCAAATTTATACAGGTAGAGGTCAACGAAATTGCGAAAATATGCATATATAGCGCATTTATTAATGAAACAAATTTTTATGAGGGAATTTAAAGTTAAATAGTTTACTCGAAACCTTCATTAATAAATATATCCGTTCCTATGTCAAACAAGAGAGACATCCTTACTGTGGGCAACAAGCCCATGCACTTTGGACTGGCATAAAAAAGAATTGCATTTTGAGGCAAGTAGACGGTCCATCAGAAAAACTAGTGTCTTCACAATTTAAACCACGGACCATTTGCTCACACCCGATCACCGTACTCCAGCCAGGCAGGCATTCAGGAAAGCTGATAGGTTCAGATGTTCTCATCTTTTTTTCTCAACTCGTTAATGTCACTATCAAACCAGACAGCACTTGACTGGGATTCGGAGACGATGAAATTTCAAGCGGTCTCTTGAATGCTTAGTTTTTGTTTGTGTTTAGGATTATTAAAACGCTTTACGCCATGCTTCACTATAAATTCGTTTATTGAGGGTTGTTCATGACGCCCGAATAAAGTACTATTTTGAATTGGTTTGATCTCGTTGGGGTTACGTTTTAACAGGAACTTTGTAAGACGTACCTCGAATTGTGTCCCATGTCACTGTTGTTAAGTGTTATTTCAGCATGTAACCATTTATTAGGCTCATTCCCATGCTGGAAGAGGTACATTCGTCTGGGTCCACTTTAAAACTTGAATAAACTATGTATAGCAAAAGTGGATTTCGATTAAACCATGTGCCGAATTGTGCATATTTGGCCTTACAGAAAGGGAGGAAGTGTCATCAGTAGTAGCATTCTTGCGACATTCCCATGCATGAGCAGTAGTATATTAAGGCTAAACACCTTGACCACCATAATTCATAGGTATAGAAGTGGTTGATTCAAATTGATGTGCCATTTTGTACACTTTAGTATACGCCACTTTCCTCCCATTACCCTAACTCCTCAATGAACTTGATTGCAGCCAAACTTTCTGCACTAATTTTCTTTTATACGTAGAGTTTAGAGACTGCCAGCAAATCAGTTATATGAGATGTGATCGTCCTATTTAGTTCAAGGAGATGGTGGGCTGGTGGTTGGTTTTCCTACAATGATATGTGTATACCCTACGTTTTTATTGAATTTCACATAGCCCTCCTTCCCAAAATGTCCTTCTCAGTCTATAAATCATCTTAAGCGAAACAAGATAAAACATCCCATATATCTGATTTACTGGTAGTCTCGAAACCCTACTTACGAACGAAAAACAATGTAGCCCATTGCTATAGAAAATATAATTTTGCCTCATCTACAATCTCATCACATTAAAAAATTTTTGAAATTCCTTGAAATTCACATCTTCCCTGTGACCCAAGGACACTCATGGCAATGTAGCCTAGTAGTCCCGCTAAGGGTGCTGATGAAACTGTCATCCACTTCGGCATGGATGAAAATACTTCTTGGAAAAGCAAGGCTATGTCAAATTTAATGGAAACGTAAGGTCTACATACATCAACTTGGGAAGCATCAATTGCCAGTCCTACATCACTTTAAACGAAATAGAATGAACAAATCTCATGTCGCTGCACTAGGTCCAGGCTACTTATAGCATTTGACAATCTGATATTATAGATACGAAGAGTAACTAGTTGAGATAACATTATCGGTAAGACATTCATTTTGTATAAAAGTGCATTAAGAGCAGATTCCTAGGTTGATTTCACCAAAGAACAGGTTCTTGACCTAGTTTTAACGTAAGACTGTTAAAAGAATGAGTTCCAGCTCTGATGATGTTCGTCAAATGATGGACAAAAGATCAGCTCGTTTTAACCCGAAGAGAAGGAAATTGTCTCGTGAACTGCGTCAACATGAGCATCGTATTAAAGTCAAACGACTTCAATACAACGGGATTGAGCTTTCTGGTAAAAGCAACCTACGAATCTTTTCTTCATGCATTAGTATACGAAATGAAGGTTTCTCCAATATCCGATATTAAGCATTCGCCGTGCAGCTGTGTTCTTCTGCAACCCCATCTGTCCTTCATATTCATTGTTTTTGCATTAAACTAATCTGTTAAAATAACAATTTGTCTATACGTCTGTGCACTGATGCCTTGTAGGGGTTGATAAATTAATTTCTTGATTGAACTTTGCGCTGAAATGGACAGCTGTTAGCAGAAAAGCCGAGACGCTCTGGAACGGATAATGCTTAGACATTCGGTCAAGAGAGGTGACCATCCAATCCCCAAGGTACATTTGTGAGCTGCTCTGAAGTGGGATTTCTCGAATGAGTTGCTACTTTCTAGCTCCATTGCGAGGCACAGATCTGCATTCCTCAAAGAGTGCTCTACTGAGGCCCGATTCTTACAAATTTGTGTCTCTTCGCCCTACTATCTACATTAGCTTTCGGCTGCTTAGACAACAGACAACACGACGTGAGGCTGGAGACTGTCCGTTGTCAGAAGACGCTTCATCGCGGCATGTTCTGAGGTTTATTTTCGAGACGGGAAATGCAATTAGTGAAGCAATGTCTATTGGCAGTCTCCTCAAAAGTCACATATTTGTTTATTATCCTCCATCGCTGTCTGGCCATAATGAGCCTCAATGAAAGTCTTTCTAAGTTTGCTCCGACTGCTCCCCATTGCATATTACTGCCAGAAAGGAAAGTACCCTTTTCTGTCTGTGGATATTATCATTTGAAGCTTCCATTCTTGAATGATTGCATCTTCATCAATTTCATATCTATTTGGTCAGCACGACTTTCCTACTGATCCCATTGCCAGCAACTGCTCGAAACGTGTGACAAGTTTCGGTCCAAGAAGAGAATATTACATTTAACTTCTTCAAAATTTGCCTACATGTCGTTTTGTGCCTATGGCCTAATCCTTTCTGTTGCCGATACAAGGTAATTTTAGGTCCAAACTTAGCGAATTTTAATCCACTTTCTCCTATCCAAGTCGAGGCTGTAGGCATCAGAGAGGCCTGGTTAAGCTATTAAACCATATTCCCAGTCTTGACCCAGGCAGCCTTGCAAACGTTTCCATTCTGAGTCAAGTGTCACCCCTACTTACCTTTCTTCCTACATACATTCATACAAAGAACAAAGACTAGGAAAACCCGGCGTAAAGAAGTTTACGTACACACGTAAGATACTTTCACATAATTTGTGAATTCGTTGATTTATTAGCTAAAAATTAGTTACCATTTCTTCTGTAGGAGAAAATTGAATGTAGAATTATGACTGGATATTTTTGGTTTATATAAAGTGTTTGATTTGGGCACACAGTTTTCGAAATTCTGGTCCTTCTCTTCAACAGGAGTTCATCTACTTCTGTTAGATAAATTTTTGCCTGGTAGACATTTCTGACCGACGTAAAGATGTAGAATGTGCATATCTTTTACCAGAGGACATATACAGGTGCCTCAAGTTAGTATATTAAGACAGAACTAGCTGGATCTTGTATGGACTAACTAAGATGTCTACATCGTTCATACATACATTGTTACAGTTTATAGAGTTGTGAAGAAGTCTAATTCGTATGAAGCCCCTTTGGTATTGGTTTCGTGGCCTCTGATAAGGCTCAATTTGCTTCCTCTACCAAGCTTCTGATGATTGGATTGATTGATGAGAAGAATGGGCAGCAGTCCCTACAGCGATGCCTTTAATGAATGCTTTAACGGTCCGGATAGGCCTTGAAGGCTGACCCAAGGGGAACCTAACCTGATGCCCAACCCACATGCAACCCATCAAGGAGAAGAATGCTCGAATTTAAATGGCATTTTAGGGAACAGAAATAAGCACAGATGTTTGCATCCCTTGGCATTCAGGAGCATCATTTAGTCCCGATAAAGGAGGCAGCACCAAGGCTGGTCACAAGAACTGGTTTATATGTTGGATGGTTTCATGTAAAGAAGCTGGATTTGTCTAGACATGATTTATTACACAAGAGAACCTGTAAGCTGATGGAGAATTTAAGCCAATCGGACTGCAAGTGGTATCATTCAGAAGGTTGAGACGAGCCTAAATACTTTATAAAGATTAAGTAAGTAATCCTCAATGTAGTCACTTGCACAGCCTTAACTGCTACTCATAAAGCAGAACTTCTTTCTATGTCGCAGTGGCCGCTCTCATTTATTCGAGGTTGACCATTACTCTGAATTACGTACTTTACTCTTAATGAATTTATGCATAGCCCGTGAATGTGTTACAAAAGATTTAGGGGATCGTCCTTACAGAAATCCTCACCCCAATATGCCATATAACAATATTCCTATGGTTTCATCCCTTCTAATAATGTTTGCAAATTAAAAGATTTCAACATAATGTATGAAGACAAAGGTGAGTCTAGTATCCTTTTTGGATGCATAGACTAGGTCTGACATTTATATGAGGAATATTCACTCTCTCTTTATTAATGTGAAAAAAGTAAGGGTAGTTCAATTTTACCCCAGTTATTTGAGTATACATTACGCTTTCAATGCATTTCACATAGCCTTGCTTTCCAAGAGTTATTCTCATCCAGGCCGAACTGAGCTAAAGTTTCGATCTCGCCTTGGTCTCGTCAGCACTTTCAGCGAGACTCGAACCATGACAGTTCTGCGTATAATCTCGAAACGTTAGCCAGTATACTACATCATTACGTGTGCTCTTTGGTAACAGGAAAGATGTGAATTTCAAGGAAAGTAAGGAATTTTCATTAATCACATTTTGTGGTGGGATTGTCGATGAATCAAATGTATATTTTCAATAAAAATCGAATACATTATTTATTATTCGATTATAAGTGGATTTTGGAGACATTCAGTAAAGTAATTATATGAGATGTATTCACCCTACTTCATTTAAGTAGATAAAGGGACTGGTAGTTAAATCTAGCCACAAAGATAACCTACCTATTATTGTTTTCGTAGCTTGGCCGAGTTGTTAGAGTGACCGCAAAGAATATATCTTGTTCGATGTCCACTGCTTTAGAAGAGATTACTTGGTAGGTATTTAGAAAAACTGGGTTTCCAAGAATTCATTAATGAAATATTCTGACATGACTCTCCATTTCGACGGGAAAGTTGGTTGGAAGGAATTCGTGATGTAGTCTAACCGGAAACCGAAGGAGGATTGTCGCGTAAAGAAGGCTGTAGAATTGTGCGGAGTCATAGGCTCACTGTCCTGCGACCCCGATGAAACTGTGCTAAGCTTACGTTTGTACTGTATTAGACATCATCAGAGCAAGATTGCATTCTTTACGAAATAGAGCAAAAATATAATAAACTAAGAGAAGAAGGTAGTCGGCTGCAACCCTAGTCGCTTTTTTTATACACCTAGCATAACGATCTTAATGAGGTCTACCCTGACTTGGTTAGTTACCTCAACCTTACTCTAAATGCTTGCAAATGAGGGAAGTTAACTTCCTGAGCCGGTAATGTGTTTGGTGGCAGCTGTTTAATTACACAAAAACGAGAGTACGATAGCCTAATGCTGAATCATGTTTGGGCTTGAGCTATTGTC